TCCACGCAAAGGGGCAAAACCACAGCCACATGAAAGATAGATATATATCCAGCCAGTAAGTTTTATTTACTTTGAGAGAAAAATAATGGGGGGGGAGGGCAGATGAGAATTCAGATTTTCTCCCACAATGCCTGTGTCCCCAGAAAGCTATGTGAGGGGCAGGGCCCAGGCCCCAGGCCCCAGGGCTGGGGCAAGACAGTGAGACATTCCTTTTGAAAATACACTTCTTTCCCTTGGAGAAGGAACATTCAGCCAGCTTCTCAGACACCACCAATCTATAACTGCCTGCATATCACATTAACCATCTACTTGAAATCTTGAGGCAGCATTTATTTTATCCTAGAAACTGCGACAGGCCTATTTTTAGTGGGAGGGCCTCTTCTTTCCTTTAATCCTACTTTGAAATATTATCCATATAGACTGGAAACTGTTCACAGAAGGCCTATTAGAAGCCTCTTAGTCTAAACTCTGGGTCTGGGAGATTAACATTCCTAGGCACAGAGAGGTTAGGGATCTAGCTGTAGATCACACAGTTGGTTGGCAGCAGATGTAGGCTCCGATCCCAGCATGCCCTAGCCTTCAAGCCCACGCCTCTTTCCACAAACGGATACAGAGCAGCACAAAGTGGTTGGCCATCTGATATGCAGAGACAGATCTGTCAATCTCAGTCTTATCATTGATTAGTTCCACGCCCTGGGCAAGTCATTTAACCTCTCTGAGCCTCATTTTCCTCATCTGTACATCTGGGGTTATGACTACAACTGTCTGGAGGATTACTGAGAATTACATGAGCCAGAGCTTGACACACAGACCAGACAAGCCATTATTATAGTGTAAGTGCTCCTGTTTCCCGTGAAGCGGTGAGTGGATCTGCCATCTGAGATGTGAGAACTATCTGCATGACTGCCCAGAGATAAACAAGACAAGATTGCTAGCACACCCATTTTACAGTTAAGAAAATTCAGTCCTCAGAGATGACATAACTTGCAGGAGACCAGAGTTTTAGAAGTGAGTACAGGGTTGCCTGGGTGGTTAAGTGTCCGACTTCCGCTCAGATGATGATCTCACGGTTCGTGAGTTCGAGCCCCACATCGGGCTCTCTGCTGTCAATGCAGAGCCTGCTTCACATCTTCTGTCCCCCCTCCCTCTGCCCCTCCTCCGTTCTCTCCCTCTCTCCCTCTCTCTCAAAATAAATAAATAAACTTAAAAAAAAAAAGGCACATTCTCAGCATTAAGAAGTCCTAACTGTCCTCCCTACCACACCTCCTAAGGTTTGGGTTGAATTAGAATGAGTTATCCCTTCCTTGCCCCCCACAGAGCAGAGCCTTCTGTCATTGGCTCACACTCTGTGATCCTTCCTCATAAACTGGAATCAGCACAGTGCCTAATACAAAGCAGAGACTCAGTGCAGTTTTGATGAGTGAGTGAATTACTGAATGAGTGAAAATCCTGATCCACAGATAAGAAGGTACTGATTGGCCCAACAACCTGAAATAGATGTTTTGTTGCAGAAAGCAGGAAGCAGGCCGGCAAGAGCTCCAAGGGCAGGAAGCAAGAACCCCATTCTCTTCATCCATTCCCAAGCCTGCTCTATAGGGAAGAAGCCTTTGACAAGACCAAGAGCTAGGTCCCAGATCTCAATGATCCCATCCAGAGGGTTTCCAAACCTGGCCCGCACAACTCAGTCCAGGGCCCGGAAGATAACTGTGAAGCACACGTGACCCTCCTCCAGCTAAAACAGATGTAATAACATTGCAGGCAAGGGGCAGCAAACAGGCCAGGGAGATGGCCCATCTATCTTCCTAATTGTCAACTCTGCCCATAATAAGATTTTTCTCCCTGTCACACCTTAGGCTGCTACTGAACTGAAGCAAAACCAAAATATCCATCTTCCAGCCATAAATAGTGGCCTTCACAAGGTGCCAGGGATGAAAGGAGGCTATTTGGCTAAGAGAGGCAGACAGAGCTGGAGGGAGCCCTGGCCAGGGAGTCAAGAGCTGAGGGTTGGGAGGAGGTGCGGGGGGTGGGACACTGAAGGGGGATGGCATGCTGTTGCCCAGCTGTAGGTGCTTAGGCAGTCACTGCACCTCCCTGGGCCTCTGCTTCCTGTCCAAAGTTCTGGAAATGGGGTCAGTGGGAGACGGGAGGGATGTGAATCATGTGATATTGTATATAAGATGTTTTAGGTTACAGGCATTTGGAGGCGAGTATAGTATCCATAATTTTCATCAGAATTTCCAAGATATAATATGTAACCCTCCTTCCCCTCCCTAAAAAGAAAGTTAAGAAATACTAGCCTGGACCATTTTTATCCAATAAGCATTTACTGAACACCTTCAATGTGCTAGACTTGAAACACAAATATGACAGAAGAGTCCTCCTTTTCTGATGTTCAGTGCAGTTTATACTCTCTGTGACAGAAGCATGTCCAGGGAGCTTCAAAAAGACAGACGAGGCAGCATTGACCTGATCAGGAAAGGCCTTCTGTGATGGCACTGGCGGTGCTGGTGGTGGTGGAAACCTCACATTTAATGTTGAAGTTGAGGGGCGCCTGCCTGGGTGGCTCAGTAGGTTAGTGTCAGACTTCGGCTCAGGTCATGGTCTCGTGATGTTTGAGTTCTAGTGCCACGTCCGGCTCTGTGCTGACAGCTCGGAGCCCGGAGCCTGCTTCGGATTCTGTGTCTCCCTCTCTCTCTCTGCCCCTCCCGTGCTCCCACTCTGTCTCTCTGTCTCTCTCTCAAAAATACGTAGAAACATTTTTTAAAAAATTAATGTTGAAGTTGAAAGCTGGCTGTGCACTCACTGGCTGAACACTCACTGGCTGAACATGTAGGAACACTATTTTAGACAAAAGACAGCATGTGCAAAGACGATGTGTGTTCCAGGAACAGTTTGAAGTGTAATTGTGAGTAAAACCTAGAGGGTGCTCATGGGGGGGGGGGGGGGCGGGGGGGGGGAGATGGGGGAGTGGTAGAACCAGAAATGGGGCAGGGAAGGCAGAAGGGTCCAGATTAGGAAATGCCACGTAAGCCATCCTAAAGAATTTTAGGATTGTAGACAGTGAGTTCACTCTAGCTTTAAAAGTCTCAGGATGAGCCACTGCTTCCAACATGAATCTTCCTAAATGTTGGGCAGGGGCCTTGGTTAAGTTGTGAGCACAGTGGGCAACAGGGAACAGCTGGAGGAAAGAACTATTGCCCCTTGGCGCTCTGGGTGGACATGGGCTGTCTGACCAAGGTGCTGGTAGTAAGTGCGTGCGTGAGGACGGGCCTGGCACCCGCCTGACAGTTTATCTCTCTGTCCTCCCAGCCTGGGGGATTCCAGCTGCCTGTTATTACGGCTGAGAAAGAAAATTAATGATTGGCCCAGGCAATGGGATGCTAAAGTAAGGGCATGTCCATATTATGGGTCCCTGGTCATCACTTGGTAAACAGTCTTTCAGTCCTTCTAATGGTCTCTGCTACTGGCCTCAGGGCCTTCCCACATGCTGTGCTTCCATCCTCTTCAACTAATTAACTCCTGTGAGCCTCTGACTGAGCAACGACTGTACCTATCACAGAATCACAGTATCTAATCCTTTCCTTTCAAAGAAGTCAGCACTGTTTGTAACTCTGTATTTGAGTGATTTGATTCATGTCGGTCTTGGCCACTGGACTGCAAGCTTCATAAAGCCAGACAGTGCCGGTTTTCTTCATTTGTGTTCCGCTACTTTGCCTCGTGCCTGGCACAGAGCAAGTACTTGTTGACCAAATGGACCCTGAGCCATCCCCCATTCTCAGTGTCCTTTAAACATTCCCCAGAACTCACCTTATGGTCCGGGGAGGAGGAGTTTTGGACATGCGCAGGAGGATTAGGATGAAAAGGCAATATCAGAGTGGAATCTGCTGTGATTCCATGTGTAGCTCTGTGTTCTTCTGCGTCATGTCTTGAAAGGTTCGAAAGAACCCACATTTGGTTTTACCCAGGCAGCTTCTGTGTTTAATTCAAGATGCTTTCTCCCCAGGCCTCAACCTGGTCACTGGCTGCATCAGACTGGACATGGTCAACAGGACTTTGCCCAGGCTTCGGAGGGTCATCCTGAGGAAGGGGGGAATCTCCTCTTCCTTTTCCTGGAAAATGCCTCTTCCTAGCCCTCCCAGCCTGCACCCTATCTCTTGAGAACTGAAACCACTGGTTCTTGCAGCCCTAGCAGACGCTCAGAGCAAGCACTTATTTAGACCAGGCTTAGCGGCCCTGGGCTCTCCTTTCCACCTCCGGTGCTAAGTTACTGGCGACTCTACAGGGACAAAGTACTTGGGGTCAAAGGTTTGACCTCAAGGGAGCGATGAGAAGGAGGGAATCTCACCAGGTGGCCCACAGCTGAACGAAAGCGCCCTAGGCTGCCTGTGCACCCGCCCCTCCTCCCCCGGGGCGGCCCCACTGCCTCCACCCAAGGTCGTGGCCCAACGCGAGCTCTGGAAAGTTCAGCCAGGAGCCGAGGGATACCAGGGTAGACACTGGGGGGCCGGCTTTTGCCAAAGATAGAAGAGCTCGATTCCAGGTCGCCCTGGGAGCTGGCGGCAGGGCGCCCAGTCCCGCAATCTGCATCCCGGACCGCAGCGCCCCGCTCGGAAGCTCTGGGCGGGGGCTGCACCACCCGAGCCGCAAGGACAACGCGGCCTCCCCCTCCCCACCGGTGTCCTCTCTGGCCAGCGCTGGGACTCGGGGAGCCGGTCAGGGCGGGAAGGGGAGCGACGCCCGCCCTTGGGTAGCCCGCGCAGCCCCGGCAGTCCCCTCCCCGCTCTGTCGCGGACCCCAGGCAGGGGCGCCAGGTCGGCCCAGGCTGCCGCAGCCTGTGTCTTAAGGGGAGCCGGGGACGCGGCGCGGGGAGGAGACGAGGCGGGCGGCGGAGCCAGAGAAGAGTGGCCGAGCGCCGGGGCCAACACCCGGGTCGCGCGGGTCAGGGTGCTGGCACGCCCCACTCAACGCGCGGCGCGCGCTGGGGTCGCAGAGAGCCTTACCTTGGCGAGCCGCAGAAGTCCGGAGGGAGGCGGCCGGCTGTGCCTGGGGCCGGCCGGCGCACACCCCGGCTTCGGGGCGCACGCAGGCTTCGGGGCGCACGCAGCCTCCGGGTGCACAGTCCCGGTCCGGGGCGCGCACCCCCGGGCTGGCGCACTCTGGTCGCCCAGGGCGCGCACACCCTCGGGCGCCCTCTCGCCGGCGGGCTGGGCCTGGGCCCGGGGCGCACACCCAGTGGGGCACACCCACCGCGGCCGATGCGGGACTGGCCAGGCGCGGCCGGCGTCGCCGGCTGCCAACACCACCCGAGTCCCCGCCTTCGCTAGGGGAAGAAAAAAAGACTCCTGACGCGGCGCGGGCTTTGGTGTGTGGGAAGGGGCAGCATTGCGAAACCGAGGGGAGGGTCTTAGCCTTGGACAGAGTTTGGAGGAAAAACTTTTTGCAAAGAGACCCGAAACCTCCTAACTGTGTATAGCGCTTTGCAGATTTCCAAAGTGCTTTCACGTACATTTATGTCAGTTAATCTTCGCCACCACAGTAACCAACTGTTGGGGCATTTTTGTCCTTACAGATGGGGACAAGGTAAAGCTTATCGCACAAGGTAAAGCTTGCCCAAGCCAGGAGCAGAACCCAGTATTAGTACCAGAATCCTGAGTATAGTGAGGTGGTGTCCATCCCTAGTGGGACTTTCTCATTGCAGAGGTGGAAGAGGCAGGGTGGGGATGGATGTAACGGAATTTTTATCTCCCCTAAGTCATTTCTTTTTCCACTCGCTTTTTTCCTTCCCAGCCATTGCTTTACCCCACTCACTTCACTCTGCCATTACCCACAATGCTTTTTATCAGTTCAAACCACTTACATTTCAGTCACTCACCGTGACTGATCAGCGCACCAAGGGCCGTATGTTGTGCACAAGCAACCTAGGACAAAAAAAAGGTGGCACTGCTCCATTTTATAGATGAGGACAAACAGGCATGGAAGGGGTCAATGTAGAGACTGCGGGACTCTAGATCCCAGCTCTGGCTCAGCTCACACCCCTTCCAAAGAGCCGGTTGGCACACGGTAAAGCTGAACCAAAGGGGTTGCACTTTTGACATGAAGACCCTGAAGGGGGAGAGAATTTGGGGCAAGGGACAAGTTCTGGGACTTTCATTTCCCCGTTTTGATAGAAACATGGTTATTATAAAGGTTTGCTTCTACTAGGGCTCCACTAAGAGCAAATTAATAGTCCAAGAGCCACAATAAGTGGCAACAGAGGCTTGGCCTTAGTACTGGGAAGTAATAGGGAGTAGTGGGGACTGTGGTGAGCTTGAAGGTAGCTCTAGGCTCCTGCCCAAGTGAAGGGGCTGCTGCCACTCAGCTCTCGTGCGTTGTTGCCATTTAAGGTGTTAACCTTTAAAATAAAACTGCCAGTTCTTCTATCAGCAAAAATGGGTTTAATTGGGAGTAGCAGAGAATTTCAATCCAGGACGAGGAATATACAGCAAAACCATGGGCAAGTCCAATAAATGAAAGAGAGGCACATTATTTTATAAAGAAGAAGGAGGAAGTTGTGTTGGGTTGTTTTAAACAAAATCCCAGTGGAGAGAAGGAAGAGTTCAGGGCGATAACCAACGGCTGAGTTGCAAGGGTGGTGTATTTCTTATAAGAGATGCAGAGTATATCTTTCCCTGTGGGGGCGTGTAATTGATGATTTTTTCCTGTTGAGATTCTTCTGTTAAGCGTGGGGCATTGACATTGAGTGGTAGGGCTCCCCCTAACAGCCTCCCCTTCTAGCATGCCGGAGTCCACTTTAGTGAGGTCTCTCTTTATTCTTTTTTTTCTCCTTTTCACAAGAGCAAAGAGTTAATATGGCCAGATCTTCTCATTTTTAAAGAGAACCTGTACATCCAGATATTTAAGTGAAGGCTCTCATTTTTTTTTTAATTTGGAAATCTTTTAATTTTGATTGATTGATTGATTGATTGATTTGAGAGAGAGAGCGCATGTGCACAGGGAAGAAGGGCAGAGGGAAAGAGATACAATTTCAAGCAGACTCCACACTCAGCGTGGAGCCCCATGCAGAGCTCAATCCCATGACACTGGGATCACGACCTGGGCCAAAATCAAGAGTTAGTTGCTCAGCCGACCAATTTGTTGATAACTCATTTTATTTTTTATTTTTTTTTAATTTTTTTTTCAACGTTTTTTTATTTATTTATGGGACAGACAGAGACAGAGCATGAACGGGGGAGGGGCAGAGAGAGAGGGAGACACAGAATCGGAAACAGGCTCCAGGCTCCGAGCCATCAGCCCAGAGCCTGACGCGGGGCTCGAACTCACGGACCGTGAGATCGTGACCTGGCTGAAGTCGGACGCTTAACCGACTGCGCCACCCAGGCACCCCGATAACTCATTTTAAAAATGCTGGACACTTGAAGTCTAAGTCAGTGTTGTTCAAGCAAAATGAAATGAGTTTATGGACCACATCCAGCCCATGGAACAGGAGTATGTGCCTTCGAGTTTGGAGGCGCTTCACACTATTTCACTTAGGCCTCCCAATGTCCCTGTGGGGTAGACCCCGCAAGGATTACTATTTATGTTTATGAAGGAGGAAATATCAGTTCAGGAGGCTTCCATGACTAGCTCAAGGTTGTGCAAGCTAATTGATAGAGCTGGAACAGAACCCAGCATTCTGACTCCTGGTCCTAGATTCTTTTGTCTCTGTGTCCTCCAAACTCATTAAGAAGCCGTTTCTTTGTTTCTGAGTGTTGTGAGCCAAGTTAGGCATGGGACTGGCACTGGGGTGTGGAGACATAGCACCTTTCCTGGGAAGACAGAGCGGGAGTGCCAGACTGCTGTCCTCGAAAGCTCAGCCTGATGACTCAGAGATGAAGCTGTATCTTGAGGGTAAAGCTGAGTCAGAGCAAGCAAGGTCTGAATTGGGGCAGTCAGGGCTTCTGAATCCCAAATTAGGGTATCGAGAAACAGGATGAAAAATGGACCAAGCAAATAGACACACCCCTTCTACCCCCACGAAACCAGAAGCCACAGACACAGATATACCAGCTAGAAAGTTCCTATTTTTCCATAAGAGGAGAGCAACAAGAGTTAGACTGGAAAGAGAGGACCCCTTGTAGGCAGCAGGTCCTCTAGAATCTCCAGTTTGGGCATCTCCACTGCAAGACTCAGCCTGGGCCTTTCAGACAGAGTCTGAAAAGCTGATTTAGAATGACTGGCCACACACTGCTGTATCCTGAAGCTCTGTAATCAAAGGACTGAGCAGCAGGCAGAGAATAGAGGGCCTCCTTGCTCCCATCCTTTGCTGGATTAACAAGTATTCACCATCTATGTATGTGCCAGGCACTGAGTCAAGCATTTTACATCATGATCTCTTGGGGACTCACAATAAAACTCTCTAATGGCCATTATTCTTCCATCAAGGCTAACAGTGTTACTTGCCTGAGGACACACAGCTAGTAAATCGGGGAGCTGGGATTCAAACTTGGGTCATAGTGACTCCAACGCCTGAACCCCCTTCTAATTAAGGGTTTCGAAATTGCTGCTAACATGGAGATGTGTCACTCAGATCCTGCTTCGAGAAAAGACTGCCCAGCTGTGAGAATGTGGTTAGCTGCCACCTCCACAGTGTGGCAAGCTCCTGCAAGGTCTGCCTCCATCAGTCGTGGGTGGGTAATGTTTAACAACCAGCTTTCTGGTGGGGGGAAATATGTGCATAGATACAGCCAATTCTCATTATTCCCAGTACTCCTGTAAAATGACCACAAACACTGAAATTGCTAATACTGAACCATTGCTCCCAGGGGAAAATACAGGGTTAGGTTCCTACAAGCCTCTGGGCACATTTTCATCCACTGATCGATATATAATTTCATTTTATGTTTTGTTTAAAAACCATATATACATTATATTTTTATGTATTTTATTTCTTAAAGTTTTTATTTAAATCCCAGTTAGTTAACATGCAGTATAATATTAGTTGCAAGTGTATAATATAGTGATGCCTCACCCAGTGCTCATCACAAGTGTACTCCTTAATCCTCGTCATGTACATTGTTGATTCATTAACATTGAGCTAATGGCCACCAGCACTGTAACTCACACCTGAATGAAGGTTATTTAATATATGTATTTTCTCCGTAAGGCACATAACAGCCTTCTTGCACTTAGAACAGTAGGTAGCACTTCAGCACTATGTTTTAGGGCTATTTTAAGCAGTGAAATCCCCTGGGGGCCCCTGGGGTCTTCAGTCAATTGAGCATCCAACTTTTGATTTCGGCTCAGGTCATGATCCTAGGGTTTTGGGACTGAGCCCTGCGTTAGGTTTCACACTGAGCATGGAACCTGCTTGAGATTTCTCTCTCTTTCTCCTTCTGCCCCTTCCCCCGCTTGTGTTCTTCCTCCCCCTCTCTCTCTCTCAAAAATAAACAAAAATAAAAAATAAAATGCTAAACAGTGAAATCACCTACAAAAAAACACAAAAATGCAAAAAAGTACTGCTAAGTAGACCACAAAATGGGCACTTATTTACAGCTTGAGAGCTGAAACAAGAAGGCAGAGGGTCACCTTGTTCAACCTCAGCTGGAAACATACACTAGGTGACTCAAAATTTTCATCACCCTGCACGTGTCCAACAAATGACAACAAAAGTACTGCAAGTGTTGATTTTGGGGGTTACAAGTAAATGTTAGCAAGTAAGTGAATTCACCAACACAGCTCCACACATTATGAGAATGGGCTGTACATGTATGTATCCATGTATACCTTCTGGCTTCTTCATGCCTACAGCCTATCCTTCCAGGTTTATTTCCCATTATCTTCCAGCCAGACTGGACAGTTAGCCCTTCTCCAAACATGTCCCATACGTATCTAGCTGTGTGACTGAGTGCAGGCTACTTCCTATGCCTGGATACTTCCTTCTCGGACTCCCAACACACACACACACACACACACACACACACACACACACACACACACCCTGTCTTCCCATGTGTGAATGATTCAGCTGTGAAACAGTAATTCCTCCATGAAGGCCTTCCTGATAACTCAGACAATGGAATTTCTCCATGCTTAGGATCACCATGGCACTTTGAAGCCTATGTCAGACATTGCTCATGTTCTACCTTGTATTATAAGCCTTAGTGATCTTCAAAAAGCACATATCCGGCCATGCCCCTCCCTTGCTTACAACCCATCAAAGGCATCCCACTGCTCTTGGGATAAAGTCTGGATTCTTTTAAGAAGGCTTATAAGTCTAGCCTCTTTCTACCTCTCCAGGCTCAACTTGTGTCCCCGTTATCC